CACCCACACCCACACCCACACCCTACCCACACCCACACCCACACCCTGTTAGCGTGTCCTACCGATATGGAGTAATAAGGAAAGTTTGAAATAAAAAAAAAATAAAAAATATTCATAAACGAAAAGTGTTGAGCACCTTTAGTATTCACTGTAAGATAAGATGAAGAGCTAAAACCACATTCGCAACGTCGCACACACAAATACTAACCACATTCACTTTCTTCAATAAATACAAAACATGATCCGTAAGCGTGTATCTCCTTTCAAGTAAAGTCTAAATTGAGCATAAGTATGAAAGCATACAGATGTTGTTATTTCTTTAAAATGGATGTTTGAGTGAACGGTCCGTATATCTTTAAAAATTTTCACATGTGCCACTCATAAATATCGACGATCTCTTTGTTACTGATGTCTTCTATTTTCCGAAGAAAAATTAAGTTATTGTGCACAGCAATGTCGATTACTTTTGATGATAGAACGACGTTTTGTTCGTATCGCTTAACATTATTGTCAAGTACATAACAATAAGATTTTTCATTCGCTCGAAGGAAGAATAGCCAGCCAGATTTATCCGGTAAGCTAAATAAACACTTGTTCAGAAGAGGATTATAATAATTTATTTTTATACGATGAAGTATTGACATGCCATGGTTTCTTAATTCAAAATAGTAGGAAGCGGTAACTTTCTTCTGCTGAAAACACTTGTTTTCGATTATGAGTGCACAGTGTAAGTTATTCATTCGAATACATTTTATTAATTCATCAGATCCACATGAAATTGGTGGCAACCATGAAGTCGGAGATTGGTTATTAGAATACCAATTCCTATCATTTGCTAACCACTTTTCGATTTTATTGTTTCTAACGATTAGAATGTGGTTCTCAAAACACGTGAACGTCGTGATGTTACGAGTCGAACAGGTATAGCGATCTGCTGTGTTGCTCAAAATTTCTTCATATGTTCCAGAAAATGGATCAAAATGATATATTCTACTCAAACATGAGCATGAATCATATTGTAAAATTAAAAATAATTGTAAGTAATCACACACTCAAATTCGTTAACATCGTTTATTGAATGCAAGCTGATCCACGAGCCACCACTAGCATTGACGGCAGATAATTCATTTTTAGACAAAAATGAAATCAATAAATCTCTGATTGGACACATAAAACCAAGTTTTATTGGTAAGAGACCGATGGATTTCTTTGGTTTGTTTAATGTAAGAAGTTGATCGACATAGTGAACAGATGAAGTAAGGGAAACAGGTGGTAGAACGATTTTTTGAACTAAAACTAATTCTTTCGGCAAACGACTGATGTTAATGTCAATAGGAATATGTTCTAGGTTGTCTTTCAGCTGTTGAAACTGTTTTGTTAATTGGTCAATATCGTTTTCAAAATAATTTTCATTCTCACGCAATTTATTGATTTTATCTGTTAATGTAGAAAATTGTTGTTTTAAATTTTCGTATTCTTTAAAAGCTGCTTCATGTAGTTCTTTGCGTGCACAATCGGCTGATTGTTGAATCAGTTCAATTGTGTCTAACTCCCATTTATTGATTTTCTCTAATTGTATTTTGAAATAGGCAAACCACTGTTGACCGAATTCTTCTGAAAATTTTTCATGTAATGCATTTCTTTCATTGGCAACGGCATTATGAAATAAATCGGTGAGATATTGACGATGTTGTACACAATGTTCAACACAAAAATGTTTTTGACATCCAACACATAATAAAACACCCGGTTTTTGTTTATGTTGAGTGCCAAGTGTCTCACACGTGGGACAAAGTTTCAACAGAACATCACAAGCCATTATTTATCAAAATAAAATGCCTGTTTTTATATGAGTAGCTTTTTGCACTAAACAAAGTGCTTCTGTAACTAGAAGAGCGGGAGCGTATAAAAAAAACACCATCAGCATAATTACATTACTATTCTTTCGAGAAAAAAACTTACCAACAAAGCACAACACATGCACCATGACGATTGATTATGTTTACACAGAAAACAAACAAATTCAAGTATGAAAAGTCTATTGTGAATTTTTCTGTAACATCAGCAACTGTAAATGTAGATATCAAGATGATGTGCGAAATTTTTCTTTGATAATCATGCGTATACGAGTGTTTACAATAACAAACGCACCACATCTAAATTTGTACACTGACACTGACAGTTAGACACTCAGCATATGAAGGGTGTGAGTGTGGGTTAAGAAAAGAAAAACACCCACCCCGAAATTTACACGATTCTTGTATTTCATGAAAAATACAACTGAAGGTGTGGGTGTGGGTGTGGGTATGGGTGTGGGTCTGGGTGTGGGTGTGAGTATGGGTGGGTGTGGGTGTGGGATGTGGGTGGGTGTGGGGTGTGGATGTGGGTGGGTGTGGGTGTGAACGTAAGTGTGGTTTTAGTCATGCCAACTACTGCCACACCCACATCCACACCACCCACACCTACACCCACACCCATACCCACACCCACACACCCACACCCCAAGATAGTGTGGGTGTGGGTGTGGGTGTGGGTGGTGTGGTGTGGGTGGGTGTGGGTGGGTGTGGGTGGGTGTAGATGTGGGTGTGGTGTGGGTGTGGGTGTAGATGTGGGTGTGGTGTGGGTGTGGGTGTGGGTGTGGGTGTGGGTGTGGGTGTGGGTGGATGTGGATGTGGAAAAGGAGAAGACCCATACCCACACCCTTTTGAAATTTTTTTTTGTCTGACTAGAATACCCGAGTCTTTCAATACGCCTATCGAACTTTTGTTCAAAAGCAGACTTCTAATGCGGTAGAAGAATTTTCATATAAAAATGAAGTTTCTCACTGCTCTTCATTATTACCTAGAGGTGACAGTACATGTTTACATTTTATTTCCAAATATAAAAATTAAATCGTTGACAGTTTGAAATTGAAATAAATTTATATTATTGTTTTTTAAATTTATGTTTCAGAATACATATAGATTATCAAAGATTTCAATTAAATTAATATAAAGTATAAAAAATTTGATTTATTTTACACAGAGACTGTTTTCACTCAAATTATAATATATTAAATTATAAGTTAAGTTAAATTAAATTATTTCAATTCTTTTTGATATTTTATATTTATCAAGCGAATAAATGAAAAAAAGCGCAGAAGTTGGTCGAAATTTTAACGAAAACAAATGTATAAAAAAATCAAAATGGAAAAGTGTTCATAGCTTACTACAGTATCGAGCGGATGTGTATTTGTTCGGAAATTCCTACGCATTTTCAACATGTTCACTTGTGGTATTTTTACGAAAGAATTTTCGTTAAAATTTCAAGGAATTTTTACACGTTTTCTTATATTTGTTCGTGTAACCAATGTAAAATATTAAAAAGAAATAAAATAACTCGATGAATTTAAAACGTAGTATGTTATAAATTAAGTGCAAACAATTTATTTATAAAATAAATAATAATTTTTATAATTTATATTTAAAACAAATTTAACCTTTGGTAATTTCTATGTATTTCGAAGTATAAATTAAACAACAAATAATTTAAATTTATGTCGAATTCACAGAAAAATACTAATACTAGCGTGATTTCATGAGAATTGAACGTTTTAAGCAACATTTAGTGTGCTCAGCTAAGAAAACTTTATTGCCTATTATGTAAAAAGAACAATTGTTACGCAAATATTAATGATTTATATAACTTGTGGAGACTATAAACAGTTTTTTCATAATCTAAAACCTCCGAAAAAATGAAGTTTGCAAACGAAAAATGGTATAGATATTTGGTAAATGGATTTGAATTCATTTTAATGGACATTGTATCATTATTAAATAAAATAAATGCGGAAACTTCGGATTTAAATCCGAGAGTTATGTGTACTTCAAAAAGTGAATCATACAAATCAATCATCCTAGACTGTCTGAATATCAAAATTATACTATGAAATCTACCTTTTAAAATGTTGATTTCTATTGCGCGTTGTCAAACCAATAGGACATGGGACCGAATACAGCTCAAGTTTGAACTCTTTCCCTTGATTTACCCTAAGAAAGTCGTTTTCCCTATAACTTCATTTCTATTGGTCACTGCACAACTAATAGTATTTCGATGGAAGTGCAGTACACATTCGAGTTCTCCATATCTGAAAACCTCGAAGTATCATCAGTGTGACCGGAAGATAAAGCTCTATTTGTGGATCAATTAGATCGTGGACAAAAATATAACCTAGTTCTCTTTAATTATCCTTGTCATAAGTAAGTCAACCTTCTTGTTTCTTAATGTTTTATATATCATTTTGTAGTTCTTGAAATTCTCTATCGAATGGTATATAATAGTTGGGGTTTTAATTGACTATGATAGGAAAAGTCTTTTACGAAAGTCGCGATGGGTCCATTTTTCCACAGAAAGCTATAGGGCAAAATGGGTATTTTTGCAATAACTCAGGAACGGCTCGGCCGGTCCTTCTCATCTTCGAACTCGACTGAGAAATTGTCAAGACTAAGCTGTGTAGAAATTTTCATCGCAATCTGACTCTGCTGTCAAAAGTTATCATGTAAACAGCCAACCGGACGGACGGACACACTGACTATTCTATAGTGTACTCACTTTTTGAGTACACAAAACTATGATTCAGTTCAAAACTAATATCAGATTCCGAATCAGCGTTAAAAACTGAGTCGATTTATGTATTTTGTGAATAATTCAGAGAAAAAAATTTTTTTTTTGAAAAAATCCCTGTACCCCCCCTCAGGGATGGTCTGGTCAAAAATCACAATTTTTTCGATAACTCAGCCATTTCTTGACGGATCCTTCTCATCTTCGAACTCGACCGAGATATTGTTAAGACTGAACTGTGTAGAAAATTTCATCGCGATCTGACTCTCCTTTCAAAAGTTATCGTGTAAACGGACGGACGGCCGGACGGACACACTGACCGATTCTAGAGTGTACTCACTTTTTGAGTACACAAAAAGATCATTTTAATGATGGAAAATATCTGTTTACGAAAAGTAATGCATTTTAATGGCCATTTTCCCATTTTCCACTTGACTGGGTACTACTGGCTTTTTTCAGGAGAAAATGTTACAGTTTGTAATGTTTTGTTTGATTTCAGAAATGCTTTTCTATGCGTTCTCTCTCACTCGTCACAGCCATAGTCAACAAAATCTTCACTTGGATGCTCATGTATTCTATTCTTCCGAAGAAGGAGAGAGGGAGAGAGAAAGTGACGAGAAAAGTTAAAGCGGTAACCTCCAATGTTTCTTATTGCGATCAACAATATGCAGCTTCTGTTCTTCACAACGAGACTAGTGCTGATTCGAAAATTTCGCATGAAACGCAAGACTAGAGTTAGTTTAAATAGAAAGCTCATGTTTTATCTGACAAAATTTCGATAGAAACTTCTATCATCATCAGGCAAACATTGCATTCTAACGGTTGACTTTTTCTCAAATTCTATCAGCAAGAATTTCGATCGACGATGACACATTCTTCTTTTTGTTAGTTTCTGCTTTGAACAATACATCCAACTCTTCCAAAAATCGTGCTTTAGAAAGAGATGCCATTCAAAGACAAGAAACATCATGCGTTTCCGCTTCCACTTTTTCGCCACGTCCTCTCTCTCTCTTTCTTCCGAATAGGAGAATATTTGAGCATCCAAGCGCAGATTTTCTTGACTATGACAGTGACGAGTGAAAGAAAAACCGTCGAACAAATATGTCTGATATCAGACAGAAAATATTACACATTACTATATTTTCCCCTGAAAAAAGCCAGCCGTAGTAACAACCTAATATGGGAAGTGTTTTTTCTCTGTCAATATTCTTTTTTTTCTTTCAGGAAAGAAATGAAAATCAGTGATGGAGAGCAAAGAACACTATAAAACGTCAAAGAGAAAGTAATTATTGCCAGTTGTTCATCGTATTCTAATAACTTTATTTACTGGCAGAACCGGCATGTCGGGTATGCTTGCTTTTCCGAGTTTCTATCCACTCCATTATCCGATCTAGACATTACAAGTATTACCACTCGCATTGTTCAAATCTCTCGTTTACATTTTATCTTACCGATATGAGCTTAGTTTCACATGATGTTGTCTTGTGTTTTTCAAGATACCGATCCAAAAATCTCTCCATGATCAAGTGTGCCGTCGGAATTCAGCATTTATCTTTTCATTCGATCGAGTATTCGAATGCATGCAGAAAAGCGATCATTGATTTAGAAGAGTTGGTAAAGATCCCAAACAGACCTCAGCAAGCAAGGAGTGCCAAATCTCAAATTATTACCTATTTTGAAATCTGCATGTCAATATTTCGAAATTTCAAAATTCTTTAATTTTCAAATTTTCAATTTTTGAAAATATGGCTAATTGTGAAAAAGACTGGAATATGACATATGAGATATTTACTCACATCATACATTTTTGAAATCGTCAGACAAGCAGATATCAGATATTTCCTCACACTATACATTTCTGAGCAACTACAAGAAGAGCAGATATCAGATATTTACTCACACTGTACAGTTTTAAAATTATCAGAAAAGCAGATATCAGATATTTACTCACACAATGCATTTTTGAAATCGTCAGAAAAGCAGATATCAGATATATACTTACACTATACATTTCTGAGCAACTACCAGAAGAGCAGATATTAGATATTTGGGTGTGTGAATGTGGGTGTGGGCGGTGTGTGTTAACAGAAGAAGTGCACCCACATCCACACCCACATCCACACCCACACTCCACACTCCACACTCACGCCCTCGCAGCTGCTGTGGGTGCCGTGAAAGAACTGGCCACAAAAGGGCTGGCCATGAATGGACTGGCCACAC